CTCTATTTAAAAAATCCTCAAAAATTTTACAAACATTTTGGTCCTGGGCACAGTGTATTTGTTTTCACTTATGCCATAAACAGGAGAAAACTATTTTCTTATGGAGCCAAGAAAGTAAATTCCATGATGTAATTCTCCTGGGTAGATTTTAGCTTTTATTTTTTCACCTCTGCTGATGTAAAGCAGGACAGAAATTGCATGGGAATAATATTTTCTCCGGTAACAATAGAAATCGCTATACAATTTCACGGACTTCTCTTTTTTCAGCTGGAGCTTAAAAAGACTCTTCTGGACAGAATGGTCCACTTATTGAGCCGTGGCTACGTCCTGCCAGTGGTGAGCTATATCCGGAAATGCCTGGAGAAGTTGGACACAGATATATCTCTGATCAGATATTTTGTGACTGAGGTCAGTAAATATTTGGATAGTTAGAGTTTTAAAATGCTGTTTAGATGGATTGATTTGCACTGGTGTGGTGAAATGTAATCCAGATTCCCAGGAGGGAGGGGCTGCATCCCAGAGGACCAAGAGACAGTTGCGAAGTTTAGATATGTTTGGTTGGATATGTTTGTATATCTTTAATGATGCAAGCAATTGCTTTTGTTTGGCAAGATTTCTGTTTATAAGTGAGGAACAATAAAAGAAAACTGCCTAAGAACAGGGGTGTCCAACCTTGGGAACTTTAAGACTTGTGAACTTCAACTCCTGGAATTCCCCAGTCAACCATGCTTGCTGGGGAATTCTGGGAGTTGAAGTTACAGGTCTTAAAAGTTGCCAAGGTTGGATATCACTGTCTTAAAAGAACTTCAGACTGTCTTTCTTGGGTTTTGGTATTGCAATAACACTGCCACAAACTGCTTGTGATATAATTGCTGTGCCCTTTGGGTTTGTTGCCATTCTTAAATTTTTCCTGCCCCTTGGGGAATGGGGAGTGAGGGCGGTTGTTGTTTTTTATTGTGAGTTTTGACTTTATTGTGGGAATGAGTGGGCAGCCATATAAGTTCTCCAAATAAGTAAATCAAATGAATTCGGCAAGATGGATGACAGGATCCAAAAACCAAGAAACACACTTATAAAACTAAGAAACACAATGTTATGACCATTGTAAATTTTATTTACTAGTTTGTTTTCCATTCACTATTCCTTTTTGAAATTATCTTCTTGCTTTCTTTTGCGTAGCAATTTATTTTCAAAATGTTTTAAAATAAAATTACTCAGACCCACTCCCAAAAAAGCAACAAGAACAACAATCACAATGAAGCTCACAGTCTTTTGTGCTACCTGATTTCGTAGGTACTGGATGTGATTGCTCCTCCCTACACCTCTGACTTCGTGCAGCTTTTTCTTCCAATTTTGGAAAATGACAGCATTGCAGGAACCATTAAGACAGAAGGTGAACATGACCCAGTGACAGAGTTCATAGGTAAATCTTTCTGGCACTGCATTTTTATTTCAAGTTTGCAACGTGTTTACATCCTTGAACACACACATATCTGAAAGAATTTACCTCAAGAAGATCTGAGCAGAATCCCTCCTCAGATGCTTTTTCAGCACTAAAAAGGCCAGGTGTTTCTATGACTCTCATGTTTTCAGGGTGTTTGGACTGCACAGAACACGTTTCCACAGTAAAAAAAAGTCCAAGATGGGAGCCATGATGCTACAATTAAACTCTGCACATTAAAAAGGGAAGGAGCTTCCATCAAACCTTTGTGGCTTCCATCTTGACTTTTGATTGTGGATATTCCTGAAGATATGTAAGCATCTTGAATTAAGGCTGAGCTGGTAGGAAGAGAAGTGTGTTAGTTTATAGCAATAGCACTTAGACTTATATACCACTTTATAGTGCTTTACAGCCCTCTCTAAGCGGTTTACAGAGTCAGCATATTGCCCCCAACAATCTGGGTCTTCATTTTACCCACCTTGGAAGGATGGAAGGCTGAGTCAACCTGGAGCCTGGTGGGATTTGAACTGCCAAATTGTAGGCAGCTGGCTGCAGAAGTAGGTTGCAGTACTGCACTCTAACCACTGCGCCACAGAGGCTCCCTATGGTCTTGAGATACCATTTTTAATAGTGTGGTCCTACCACCCCTGGGAATCACCCAAGACTGTCAGGAATCCTGGAAATCAGAATCATTTGCCAGCCTACAATACTTAAATCTTATCAAGAGACACAATAGCAACCGTAAATGCATCCATTTTAATTTTGCAGTACATTTATTATAGCTGCCCACTCTAGCAGACATTGGGATATATTATACTGTATGTGACTGTGGACAACTGGGGAATATTTTACAGGAATAGATTAAAGTGTTGAAGAATGCATGCAATCAGACCCTGCTTTCTGCTTGAATCAAAAGATTTCGGCACATAAAATTTTGTTCCAAGTCAACTTGTCTTGTTTGTCTTCTTTAAAGCTCACTGCAAATCGAATTTCATCATGGTCAGCTGAAGAAAGGGGGAAACTCCACATCCAGAAGCCATGGTGACCAGGCCCATTTTTGTGTCACATAAAGAAATTTCAAATGGTTTGCTGATAGTTTTCAGGTTAAGTAGGAACTTAACTCTGAACAATTTTACTTGCCTAGAAAGCAATTACTGGCACAAATTGCATCAATACTTCAAACCTTGGTCCTCTTGAAGAACTCAAAAGTTGGTGTAGTTTGTGTGCTCCATGTATATGACCCAGTGAAGTATGATAGCCGTGATATTCTTAAGAAATTCACTGTTTAGTATATGACTGGTTACTTCTAGAAAGTAGAGCTGACATCTCTCTGTGTTCCAGTCAGTTTTGTAGACTGGAAAAACAGTGTAATAATCTCTCAGACTTGGTCTCATTCTTGACAATCCTATAAACATGTGAAAATATTTATCAGATATGCCCCATCGGAAAACACCCTTTCGCAAACCTTCAGCCTGGCCATCCTTACATATGTTGGGTCTACAGAGCCCATCCTTTGGTGGATCCCCAGGCTGGATAAATCTCCTTGCAATGTCTTTATAACATTGTAGCTCGTAAATCAACCATCACGGATGATTGTTGAGAAACAGACCTATGCTTAGCATCTGTTACATTCGAGTTCTGAATCAATTTTTTTAAAAAAGAAAATAATTTGTGCATCACAAATATTTGTTTGTGAACCCTAGCAAAGAAATACAGGTAGTGTGTCAGGGTGTTCTTTTAGGAGAAAATATTACAATATTAACCATTATCAGTAAGTTTCATTACTTTGACAGAAATACATATATTTGTTGTTACATTTCTCTAAATGCATAGCATATACAGTAATGTATAACTTTTTCAGATCTGTCTTCTTGTTACATATCAGATGAGTGAAAAGTATGACAGCTTGTAATTTTTAATAAATTTTCTTTTGGGTAAAAAATGTTGCGCGTGTTGAATGTAGTCTTCACTGTTTCAATTTGCAAATCAAACAAGGACACTGGGAAAAATAACTGAAAAGATTCCATACAGTTTTTAATAAGTTGAATAGAGAAATAGACATCAGTTTTCTTCATACTTATTGGCTGACAAAACGTTGAACTATCATGTTACTGAATTTACTGGGTCTTGTGAACCTAACCAAATGGAAATTATCAGTCATCCAGGTCATAATTGTCTCAGAGGTGTTTTTTCCAAAAGCAACTGGACTGGACTTTTTCTTTTCCTTGAGGAAGAAGGCGCTTCACTTTTCATCCAAGAAGTTTCATCTTTTGGGCTAGATGGTGGGGACAGGGGATGGAAGGATTCATTCTGACCATTAATCCTATTTTAGGTATAAAAGGTGGCTGGATAACTGTGCCTGTCCCTCTCAGCTCCAGGAAGAAGATGAAATGCATGTGAGAAATCTCCAGAATAGAGTAGAATAGGAATAGGAATAGAAGCGGAATAGAGCTGGAAGGGACCTTGGAGGTCTTCTAGTCTCAACACCTTGCTCAGGCAGGAAGACCTATACCATTTCACACAAATGGTTGTCCAATCTCTTCTTAAAAACTTCCAGTGTTGGAGCATTTACAACTTCTGGAGGCAAGCCATTCCATTGATTGTTCTCCCCGTTCTTCTTAGTTCTAGGTTGCTTCTCTCCTTGATTAGTTTCCATCCATTGCTTCTTGTCTTGCCCTCTACCCTTTGAGTAGAGTAGCCAGCTTTTAGGGAGGTATCTAGTGTACCTTGGTGAGAGAAGCAAGTGCTCCATGCTCCTTGGGTGTTATAATTGTGCATGGAAATATTTGGCCAAAATTTGATTGCACTGATGGATATAGTTGGTCCTCAAGTTACAACAATAATGGAGCCTGCCTACTACAGTTCTAAATTGTAACAATTGTGAAATGGGTTGGTCATGTGACTGACCCAATTTTACAAAAAATTTTTTTGCAGTAGTCATTAAGCAAACCAATCATTCATCATTGGTGTGCTTTTGCTGAAAACTGGAAGAAACTCCTTGGTTGTTGTTGTTTTTTTACAAAATTATTGTAAAACACAAGACATATGAACATGGGACATTGCAAATGGCCATAAAAGTTCTGGAATTTTGATTCTGGGTCATAAGTGCACTTTTTCAGGTTGGTGGTAAGCCAAGCTCTATATAATATCTGGCCATTATCACTTGGCCTCTAGATGCTGCTATATTTGATATATAGGCCATGAGGTATTAGAATCTTGAAATATCAGCACTTTTGTGTTATATAGATTTATTAAGGCTGCTCAGTAGCTTATAAAAAGGTGACTGGAAGTCTTTGTTTAGATTAGAATAAAATCAATATGATTAATCATTTTTTTTTATTTTATAGAACAACTTTATTGCAAGGATCTCAGGAAGATTTGTCTATCAAGGACAATGTGCAAGCAACCTAGCCTACATTTCCTTACCTGTCAGCCTAGGGTTTAGTCTATCCATTCACCACAGAGAGTAGGAAATTTGACATCCATATTATTTTCAGATAATAATTTAAGAACTCTGCTCCCCAATTGTTACACTTTTCAAAAGAATTAAACATGATTATTTGTATGTATGTATGTATGTATGTATTTATTTATTTATTTGATTTTATTTCTATAGCTGTCCTCTCAAGTGAGTCTGGGTAGTGTACATAATAAAACATTAAAATAATTTAAAAGTACAAAATATATATTGCACCAAGTAAAACTGCTACTATGGATGTTAACGCAGCCAGGAATGGAGTCATTAACACATTTGGCCTCCAAGGCTGGACACACAATTTCACAGTTTGTGTGAAGGCCCAACAGTAATGAAAGACCAACAGGGTTGGGGTCATCCTGATACCTGAAGGGAGAATCTTCCAGAGGGCCCTAGAAGGCTCTTCTCATGGTTTCTGCCAGGTGACATTCCTTGGCTAACGGGACCTGCAACATGTCCAACCTGTCTGACTGAGTTGGATGGGTAAAAATGATTGGGAGAAAATGGTCCCGAAGGTAACGCAGCCTCAAACCGTGTCGGGCAGGGGTGTCACCCTGGAAATAGCGAAGGACCGGCCCGCGGTGCTTCTGCCAGCGAAAATGGAGTTCGCGAGGGCCACACATGCACCCCTGAGCTCCATTTTCGCTGGCAGAGCGTTCAGGAGGCCATCACAGCCAAAAATGGAGCTCACGAGCCCGTTTTCACAGGCAAAGCACTCAGGCCACCACAGGTGCTCCCTGACACTGTTGTCATGCTGGCCACACCCCTTCCTCCCGAAGTCAAATATAACTCTGATGCGGCCCTCAATGAAATCGAGTTTGGTTTGAGACCCCTGATGTAGGGCTTCAACATGCTTGAATTGCACTTGGAAATATACTGGTAAACAATGCTACTCACAAAGCAGTGGTGCTATATGTGTTGACTATCTTGACACCCTTTACTCCCCATGGAGCTGCATTCTCTACCAGTTGGGAGTTTCAGAATGCTCTTCAAGGGCAGCCCCATTTAGAGCTCATTGCCGTAGTCCAGAAGAGAAGTCATGAGGGCATGAGTGACTGTGAGCAAAGCCTCCCAATCCAGACACAGGCACAACAGGGACATCACCCTAAGGTGTGCAAAGGCCCTCCTGGCCATGGCTGCTTTTCTGCTTTTCTAGCAGAAGCCGTGAATCCGAATGCCACCAAATTAAGGACTCCTGGTGAAAAACCTTATCACAGGAAGAAAGGCCCAAAGACCCAAAGCCACTCTGTCTTGTTTGGCCCATTGGGCCCCATATAGACTCTTACATTCTCCCAGCACCGAGACACGAAATCCATGGCATCTTTCAGGCTTTCCAGAAGGGAGATAGAAAGTTTGCATTTTGATACCTTACCACAAACCGTTGGATTACCTCATCCTGCAAGGCCTCACTCACGTGTCAACTGGGAGAGGAAAGAGAACTGAGCCCTGGGGCACCCACAAAGTAAGGGCTGTGGGCTACATCCTCCCCCTCCCCCCAAAATCAACTGGAACTGACCCCAGAGGAAGGAGGAGACCAAGACAGTGTCATTCACCAGTCCGGAAGGATGCCATAACCGATGGTATTGAAGGGTGGTGAGATGTGATTTTGCTTCTATGCCCCGGGAGTAGGAGGCCCATCCTGCTCCCAGCAGAGATAATCTAAAGAGCGCGTAGATGCAGTTTCACTCCCATATCCCGGCCCGAACCCCGACTAAAAAAGGATAAAAGCTTAAATCGCAGCTCACTTCCATTTGAAAAACAGTGCCAGGTTTCCTCAGCAGAATCAGTGCATTCATCTTGATAATTTATGAAAAATCTTTAATAGAAAAAAAAAAAAAAGGTTGAAAACTCAGTTTAATTACATGTCCATGGGTTGCCAGCCAACCCTGCAGAAAGTAATTTTCCCTTTCAAAAGCTTTAAAAAAAAAAAAACCTAGCTGAAAAAGTTCTTGCACAAGAATTCAAGGTATAATGGGGTCTCCGTATGTGCACTGCTCTTCAACCGCCAGGTTGTAGTCTGCTCCTCTCCCACCTTTATACGTACTTGTCACAATGCGCAGCCAGCCCTTTTCACCCTGGAATTACAAATACAGGCACATCACAAAAGAATTCTGGCCCAACCCTCATTCTCATCTTACAGCTTTGTTCAAAAATGCCACTTAAACCTTGATTATGCCTGGACTTGCGAAAAAGGGGCCAACAATGCAAGCAGCCACTTTTGATGGTGAGCTGGAATAATCAGATGCACTGGGTATCAAGACCTCACCTCCTCCTTGTACCTTCCTTGCTTTTGTGATGGAATGCAGAAAGGAAGGGGGTCCCCAGAAGGGAGGGGTTGCATTCCAGAGGAGTAAGAGGCAACTCGGTCCAGATCTTATGGTGGGAGAGAAAGAGGATGTAGACAGTCCCTCCCTAATAGTTCACAAAGAATATTGTACATGCAGATGGTAGATTCTTCAGTCTGGCAGGAATTTGTCTCTAGGTGTGAAACAATAAAGAACTCAGCTTGGAATAACCCCCATGTGCAATTCTGAGTATTGGGCCCGGCAGCATTGCTGAATCTGAATTGCACAGCTCTCCATGGCCACGACTCCACCAGCATATTTGTGAGAAAGTCTGGTGCCCATGAGGATGGGGACATCATTCTGAAGATCCTCTTTCAGCAACACAGAGGATAAAGTAGTTCCTGCCATCTCTCATGGTGGCTTCTTTCGGTTTCAGGGCTTAACATACAGTAATAATAAGGAGCCCTGAGACTTGGTTGCCATTCAAGAGCAGTGGTGGTATTCTACCAGTTCGATGCCGAGCCGGTAGCAGCGATGAGCAGTGGAGACCGAACCGTTCTCTCTGCTGGCTCTGCTGTTGGGCCCACCCGGGCCCCCATACTCACCTTTATCCTCTGAATTTGAAGCGCAGCTGCTTTGCGCGGCACAGAATAGCGCCGATTGTGCAGGCTTGCAGGTGAGTTAGAACGCCTCTGCGCCTGGGCAAAGTGTGCAATTGGTGCATGCACGCAAAGTGTGTGCACGTGCGCAAAGTGCGCCCACCAAGCCACGCCCACCGAACCGGCCGCTATGCTGGCTGGAGAATTCTGAGAGTTGAAGTTCACAAGTCTTAAAGTTGCCAAGTTTGGAGACCTTTGGCCTAAACAGACCTATCCTCTGGCTCCACAAAAGTTCCTATATTCCAGCACAGCCCAGTAACCCCAGTTCCTCATCTTATATTTTCCATCCTCTTTTCCAGGGGTGGGATTCAATTTTTTTAACAACTGGTTCTGTTTAGGTGGTGGGCGTGGCTTTGTGGTGATGTGACTGGGTGGACATGGCTTGGTGGTCATGTAACTGGCTGGGTGTGGCCAACTCAATATCACTCACATCGAGGCACGCATCTCCTCGCCTGGCCTCTCATGACTGTGGGGATGCTGCAACAGTCGTGTGAAAAATGGTCATAAGTCACTTTTTTCAGTGCCATTGTAACTTTGAATGGTCCCTCCACACAAGCAAAGTACCAGCAAAGGAGGAAAAAAAAAACTCCAGAGAAGTTCCAGAGACAGGAAGTCTAGTCCTGCCAAGAATGTAATAAGGGACAATGGAGAGGCAGTTTCTGTAAGCAACACCAGAATGTTTCCTTCCTGCCTTCCTTACAGGATTAGGCCAGTCATTTCTTCTAACAACCGGTTCTCCGAACTGCTTAGAATGTTAACAACCGGTTCTAGCGAATAGGTGCGAACCTGTAGAATCCCACCTCTGCTCTCTTCATCAAAAGGCCCTTGTGAGATTCCGAAGAACGTCTTTGTTACTGAAGGAATCATTTAATGCAACTAACATGGAGAAGAGTCCTGGAGGATTTATCTCTTTGGTTTCATGGGCAGCCCTGGGAATTAATTAAAGCAGGTCTGACGTAAGGATTTTGTGGTCACAACTGCCATCTTCAGTTTTTGCACACTCATAATACACATACACACACACACTCCCATGCTTGTGGACACCCTGCTCCTCACCTATCTATAGTGCTACTGCTGGTTTCTATGCCATTTCTTATTCAGGAGACAAAAGCTGGAATTTTAGTGATCTAATCAAGATCACATACCACCAACATGCCCTGATGGAGACCAGATCAAATACTACAACTGATTTAATTTCATTTAAATTTGCTGTATCTTGACTTTCTTGGCATGTATTTAAGCATTTCCTTCTTTTGTCACACTCAGAATTACTCCTTGCTGAAAATTTTTGCAGATTTCCATAGGTGGCAACCAAGAGCTTGGTATAGTTCAGGGGTAGGGAAACTTGGCTCTTTCATCACTTATGGACTTCAACTCCCAGAATTCCTGAGTGAGCCATAAAAGGTTCCCCATCCCTGGCCTACTGGTTTTTCAGTTGTGGGGGAAATCCATTTTTGACTTGAATGGGACTGTTTAATATACAAATGTAGGACATTTTGACTTGAATGGGACTACAAACGTCCTACATTTTGACTTGAATGGGACTGTTTAATATACAAATGTAGGACATTTTGACTTGAATGGGACTACAAACGTCCTACATTTTGACTTGAATGGAACTGTTTAATATACAAATGTAGGACATTTTGACTTGAATGGGACTACAAACGTCCTACATTTTGACTTGAATGGAACTGTTTAATATACAAATGTAGGACATTTGTATATTAAACAGTCCCATTCAAGTCAAAAATGGATTTCCCCCACAACTGAAAAACCAGTAGGCCAGGGATGGGGAACCTTTTATGTCTCACTCAGGAATTCTGGGAGTTGAAGTCCATAAGTGATAAAAGAGCCAAGTTTCCCTACCCCTGGTATAGTTTATGAAGAGTAAAAATAATCTCTGCCCTGAAGTGAAACATACCACTCTAACCATCCTCGAAGCTTTTTTTCCTTAAAAGAAAGTTCTGCTTACCCATGGCTCGCCCCATGAGTTGCGGACAATCCAGTATTCAGTTCCATCTTCCACACCCCAACCAGCAACAGAGATAATGTGGTTGATGAAAGATGAAGAGTGATATTCAGTATAAATTCCTCCGGTATAGTTTTCCAGGCCTGGGGTAGCCATGATCCCACAACTGTTTAAATTACATGAAATTAGAAGGTTAGCAAAGTAAACAAGGCTGAAATGTGTGCAGTTATCACAGAAGTGAAGAGTTCCCAACTAGTTTCCAAATTAGCTAGGTGGCCTCAAGTAATATATCATGTGCAATGACACTTGCTGTGAGCCAATCATGGATTTGAATAGACCTAGGAGAGAAATTGAACTTGTACATTTCTAGTGAGATGCATATAAGTTATAACCTTAACCCGTTACCAAAGGACTACCTAGTCCTTCACATATATGCTCCATGAACTCCCTCAAAGTACTAGTGCTGGAGGGAGGGGAGACAAAATAGGTCAAATTCCCCCTCTCCAAGCCCCCACTAAACTTTAATTTCAGACTCCACCTTTAGGGAGTTAAATAAACAAAATAATGGGGGAGGATTTTTCCAGCTGGTGGCAGAGGAATTCTGGGAGTTGAAATCCACACATCTTAAAGTTGCCCTGGGTGGGGAACTTGGCTTTAAACAATTTTTTCTCCTCCAGTGAACCAACATTGCTATCCACACCTACTTCAATCACATCACTTCTACTTGCCACATGAACTTTCTGAGCCATTAAAACTTATGTTCACTCCCGTACCTGATGGGTCCATTTGCATAGATTTCCGCCATCATTTTCTCTCGACCGCTCACAGATCCATAATCTCCCACTTTCCAGAGGGTGTAATTTTTTATCACGTGGCATTCCCCGAAGGTGGTACACGTTCCGCATTGGTTAAATTTCTTGCAGTCTTCAAAAATAATTGCACAAGATAAATGCAAACAGCAGTTTATTTTCTCAGGCTAGCCTATTACAGGCCCTCAAATTATGACCCCCCAATAAAGCCCAAAATTTCAGTGGCTAAGGAAGACAGATGTTAAGTGAATTTTGCCCCATTTTACAACCTTTCTTGCTACAGTTGTTAAGTGAATCACTGCAGTTGTTAAGTTTGTAATACGATTGTTCAGTGAATGTGGCTTCCTCATTGACTTTGCTTGTCAAAGGATCACAAAATGTGATCAAATGTCTTTGGGATACTGCAACTGTCATTAGGACATGCCAGTTGCTAAGCATCTGAATTATGATCACATGACCATGAGATACAACAGTCCTAAGTGTAAAAACCAATCATAAGCAACTTCTTTCAGTGCCGCTGTAACTTTGAATAATCACTAAACAAATGGTTGTAAGTCAAAGACTGCATTTATCTGCCACCTCAAATTATGAAATGAAGATTCCTTGCAGGGCACCTCATTATTCTTATTCCACTTCCCATATATTTCCACTGAATAATGAAATGTGGGAATTATAAAACAAAATACAAAACTGGCAAGCGTAAAATGATATTATAAACAAATCAATTCCCCCCCTCAATTTTTTTAAAAAAGCCAGGAGGTTTGTGTCATATGATTTTGTGTCATAATAATTTTCAAAGTAAATCCATCATCAAATTTCTTTCCAAAAGAGGAGAGATAGAATCCGGCTTCACACTATGTGGGAAGAGAACTCCACAACTGGGAAGTTGTGGGAGGGAACAGAGGTGGCATTCAGCAGATTCTGACTAGTTCTGGAGAACCGGTAGCGGAAATTTTGAATAGTTCAGAGATCCGGTAAATCCCACCTCTGACTGGCCCCGCCCCCATCTATTCTCTGCCTCCCGAGTCCCAGCTGATTGGCTGGGTCTTCTTTTGATGCCCTGCAAAGGAGAATGGAGCTGGAAAGCAGGTTAGTGGGGTGGGGAGGGAATGGAGATTTTGCAGTAACCTTCCCCCAGGAGTGAGGAGGGAATGGAAATTTTAAAGTATCCTTCCCCTACCACGCCCACCAAGCCACACCACGCCCACCAAGCCCCGCCCACGGAACTGTGAGGGAAGGTCCTATGATCCACTGATTGGACTTTAGGTAAAGGTGGAAAAGAGAGCTGGGCCTTCAATGCAAATCTGAAGTCCTAGGCCAGGACTGTCAAACTCCCGGCCCATGGGCCATATGCGTCATGCGCTGGCCACACCCTCGCCTGGTTTAGCGAAGGGGGAAAATGTCCCAATATGTCACATAATGCTGCAGTGACAACGTGAGTTTGGCATCCCTGGCCTAGGCACATTCTGCTAAACAAGGCTAATGTGGATTAGAGTCCATTTTTTAGTGCAAACTATGTGAATTGAAAAATTATGAATACATCTTGTCTCAGCAATAAAAGAATTGCTGGTTTAAAGCTGGCTGCTCTCCTTTTAGCCATAGTCAAATTTGGAAGTAACATATTTATAAAGGCAATTAAAATTTGGAATTTGGAAGTAACATATTTATAAAGGCAATTATAAGCTTTTAATGAAACAATTATCAAAACTTTTGGATGTCACTAGACAATCCATGACCCACTGAGTCATCATTTCAGAGATATTTCCTTACCTAAAGAGAGAAACACAGTGACCAGAGAAAGTCAAAACAGCGGTGGAAGCAAAAGCAACAGAATCCATTCTAAATTCTTTACTAAGCAGTTCAATGTACATTCAATGTTTTATGTGCTTGAAGGTCAATTTTGTAATCAGCCTGGCTACCTTTGATGGATGCAAATTAGCTCCAGCTAATCTGAAAGGGGTTTAGATAAATAACACGGGCATTGGGGAGCTAACAGCCAAACTATCTCAACCTTTGTGGATACATTACCACAGCTGCTCAATTTCATTTTCCAACATCAATAGTATAGGTTTTTTTCCCAATGCCTTTAAACACCGCTGCCTTAATATGTTGGGTGAGTAGGGAGGACAGGAGTTGTACTCCAAGACTTTGGCAGAATATCTCATTGGAGAAGACATCGTGAAATTTACAACAACTTTTGCCAAATTGGGGTGATTGTTATTACCATTCCTTAGAAGTAACAATCATAGTCTCATGTCATTAAATGAGGCATGTAGGCTAGTAAGCGTTGGCGTCTATTGCAAGGCCAATACAAATGATGGTGGGTTGAAATTCCCTTCCCTTTTTCGGAGCCCAACTCATACACATTGTTGCTCTGATCATACACACCTTGGTCTTTAGCTTGATAATTGTTGCAGGTTTCATCCGGGATGCCGTGTTCATGAGCATATTGCCACACGCCACTGTCGTCCCCACCTTCACAAGATCCAGCATTGGCACAGTCAATCACATTTTGAACAGAGAGATATGCTGAGGGCCAGGCCCCTTTCTTCTTGATATTTATGCGGTCTAAGAGAGAGAGAGAGAAAAACAAGCTTTGAAAAGAACAAAAACTGCAACCCTTCTAAGCCACAGACTGAGTTCCCACAACATGCTAAGCCAAGGCAAAATATTTTTCTTTGAGGTCCTTGGTGGTCTCTGAGCTCAGCTGTTTTCTTGCAAATGTTTTATTACCCAACTAGGTAATGGTGCATGTTTTACTTTGATTTGACTGTGGCTTGGTGTGTGTTCTGAATTCAGCCGCGTTTTGTCAGGCCAAGCCAGATCACTTTTATTGTAATTTATTTGCAATCTACAACACAGCAAGCCATGACTTAATTCAAACCTAGTCATGAAGTAGAGATTGTCCAGGTCTGATTTATGTAATACAGGAAAAAAAATGATTCTCCATTCCATTTTCCCTTCCTGCCACTCACTATTTGTACCAGGCCTTAAATTCCAATAAAAAATAAAAAAAAAGGATCCTAGAAACCTGCTTTTAGCTCCATAAAGTGACCACATGAATTCCTTCCCTTTTAAATCTCAAATGTTCTTTCATTTTTCTCTTCAATAAGATCATTCTGGCCAATTCAGTCCTTTACCACAACCATTTCTCATTGTCCATTGTCTTTTAATATGGCAAAACTTTGGCCAAGAACCTGAGCAACGTTGAATCTGTTTAGTACTTAGGTAAGAGTCAGAAAAAGACTGTAGGCTAAAGCAGTGTTGAAAAGAAATGCCCAGTGGACGACTGTGACAAATGGCTTCCATGCCACTGCCAAGAAAGCAATAGCAATGGCATTTATATATAGCTTCACAGTGCTTTACAGCCCTCTCCAAGCTGTTTACAGAGTCAGCCTATGGCCCCCAACAATCTGGGTCCTCATTTTACCCACCTTGAAAAGGATGGAAGGCTGAGTCAACCTTGAGCTGGTCAGGATTGAACTACTGGCAGTCAGCAGAATTAGCCTGCAATACTGCATTCTAACCACTGAGCCACCAGGGCTCTCTAAGAAATCAATGTGAATGTGAAATTACCAGGAGTTGAACTCAGCTTGAAGGAGACTTTGCCTCCAATCAAGAGGCAGGAAACGGCACAACTAACTCAAAGATAACACCAATGAGAGAAGTCCTCCAGCTCTCATTCAGTATTGCCCAACCTCAAAAGGCACAACCACATTTTCAAAAGGAAACACTTAATTTGATTTGAAAGGCAGATTGTGGTGTGAGGTGTAGTGACTATGCATTTCCCCCCTTGAGATTTGTGATTCTCAGTGCTCAGAGGGAGGCCTCCCCACTAGATATTCCCTACCTGCTAGAGCACTGGTGCTGCCGTGAGCCCAGCAGGATCCACAGTATTGGGGAATGTGCTGGTTTCGGGTGGTGCTTGCGTAATTGACGCCATCTCTGTTTCTCCAATCCCAGCTCTTGGGCAGCTTAGAGATATCCAAGTATTCATGCGGTCGAGGATAGGTTCTTTCAGGGGGAGGGATGGGGGAGGAAAGAATAAGGAAAGTTAACTTTCTGCGAGCGAAGGTAAGAGGGTGATTTCTCAGCGCTTGCCCTGATTTATAACCAAGCCTATCCAGGGGTGGGCTGCTGGAGCTTCGCAGGGGTTCGGGAGAGCCCCGAGCTAAAATTCTGTGCAATTCAGAGAACCCCACAAATCCCACTCCTGGCTGGCCCCGCCCACCCTGCCCCACCCCTCCAAGGAGTCCCCACGCGGCTCGTTTCAGATGCAGGTAAGTGCAGGGCGCGCGTGAAGGCTCAGAGAGGGTGAACAACAGGCCTCCTGGAAGTTCGGGAAGGCCGAAAATGGGCCCGTTTCCAGCTCCCAGAGAGCCTCTGGAGCCCAGGGAGGCCGTTATCGCGGAAAGCCTCCGGAGCCTGGGGCGGGCAAAAATGCCCCCTCCTGTGGTGCAGAAGGCCGACTAGGCCACGTCCACCATGGCCACGCCCATGCAGCAACCGGGCAGAGAACCCCTTGCTAAAATTTTTGAAGACCACCCTTGAGCCTATCTTAGTCTGAACAGCGTATATATTTCCCACTTTATTTGATCCTCTGGCTGTTTGTGAAATAACTTCGGCAGACAGGAAGTGACTTTATCACGAGGTGCCTTTTTCCCTCGGAATTCTGATGACCTCAACTACTTTCTAAAGTGATGAGATGAACTTTGTTCTCCTGCCTGTTTTGCAAAACTCCAGAAGGGGGAGGGGGGAACATCTCGGGACAGCAAAATTTTAACGTATCAACATTTGCAAAGGGATAGAAAGGAGAGAGGCCAACTGGCCCACTCTGTGTTTTGAATTATATGACCCATAATACCCAGCAGCCATGCTGGCTGAGAAAGATAGGTAATGTAGCTTAAAGGAGGAGAAAACTGTAAAAACAAGCTGCAAATGCATTGTGTGTTATCAACAGTGTGCAACTCAGAAGGATCAACAATGGGCAAATATATGTTTCATGGAAAAAGCAGAACCCCAAGAAGGCCCAGCCTGCTTGGTAGATAGACCCAGGGCACTTGACAACAAAGAATGTTCTTTCTGCGCCAACTCAGAAAGCTCAAACTGCCTAAGGAGCTGCTGATACAGTTCTACAGAGGAATCATTGAGTCTGTCATTGGCACCTCTATAACTGTCTGGTTTGGCTCTGCAACCCAAGAGGATAGACACAGACTTCAGAGAGTAATTAGGACTGCAGAAAAAACAATTGCTACCAACCTGCCTTCAATTGAGGACCTGTATACTGCACGAGTCAAAAAGAGGGCTGTGAAAATATCTATAGACCCCCTCACATCTTGGACACAAACTGTTTCAACTCTTACCCTCAAAACGATGCTATAGAGCATTGCACACCAGAACAATTAGACATAAAAACAGTTTTCCCCCTGAGAGCCTCACTCTGCTAAACAAATAATTCCCTCAACACTGTCCAACTATTTACAAATTCTGCACTAGTATTACTATTAATCTTCTCATCCTGATCGCCCATCCCCTCCCACTTGTGACTGTATGACTGTAACTTTGTCGCTTGTATCCTTGTGATTTTTATTGACTGTTTCCTAGTATGATTTGATTGCTTATTGTATCCTGTGACTATCATTAAGTGTTGTACCTTACGATTCTCGACTCTTGATGAATGTATCTTTTCTTTTATGTCTACTGAGAGTATTTACACCAAGACAAATTCCTTGTGGGTCTAATCACACTTGGCCAATAAAGAATTCTATTCTATTCTAAAAAGAAAGCAGGAAATGTAGGAAATACTAGGGTGTGGCTAGTTTGCATTCTGATGATTCCCATGAATTAGCACTTTCTTCGGAATCCCTCTTCTCTATTTCTGTTCTCATGAATTATTAGATAATCCTCGACTTACTCATCTAGTACAACAGTATTTAAAAACATGACTGATGACTGTTTTTCACACTTATGACCATGGCAGCATTCCCATGGTCACATGATCAAAATTTGGATGCTTGGCAACTGGTTCATATTTATGACGGTTGCAGCATCCCAGCGTCACTGATCACCTGTTGTGACCTTCCGATAAGCAAAATCAATGGGGAAGCCGGATTCACTTAACAACTGGGCCCTCACTTAGCAACTGCGGTGATTTACCTAGCAATTGTGTCAAGAAAGGTCGTAAAACGAGGCAAAACTCATTTAACAACTGTCTCGTTTTCCAGCAGAAATTTGGGGTTCTATTCTGGTCATAAGTTGAGGACGATCTGTACTGTAAAGAGAGTTAAATGCTGAACACCATCGTCAACAAATGCCAAAATGATGTAACCAGGTATTACTCCATGCCTGAGGAGCAGATGCTAGTCTAAACTCTCAGAGTCTTTTCCATGACTGACTGTCCCCTTGTCCTTACCCAAGAGACAGACGGACCCAGTGCTAACCCCTTTTTTCTGGGGTATCTCCATTAGGTTGACTTCAGCAGTCCCCAGACCAGAGGTGGTATTCAGCAGGTTCTGACCAGTTCTGGAGAACCGGTAGCAGAAATTTTGAGTAGTTCGGAGAACCGGCAAATACCACCTCTGACTGGAGATTTTACAGTATCTTTCCCCCGCCACGCCCACCAAGCCACACCCACAGAACCGGTAGTTAAAAAAATTGAACCCACCATTGCCCCAGATCATGAATGAGAGTCAGCCTTGGCTGCACAGCTATTGAAGTAGCCTTTCCTTCCATATTTAGCCATCAAGGGCTCAGCCTCAAGATATATACAGTTGTTCCCTCTTACCAACTGTGCATGGCTAGTCTAGTGAAGAGAAGGACCAGGGGAGAAAAGATAGCAGTGTTCCAATATTTGTCAGAAATGGTGTAGGTAGGGTCTCCTGCCTGGGAAGAGGGTTGGACTAGATGACCTACAAGGTCCCTTCCAACTCTGATTATCTGTTATCTGTTACCAGGAGGGAAATAAGGTGAGGACAGTGACCTGGAACAAAGGGCAAGAGAACCAATTTCAGGCTGGATAGGAGATTTTTTTTTTTTACTGACAGCAAGGATTGGTTGAGAGAACTATAAACTGGAGGTGGAGAGACGCCCTTAGGAAACTTCACAGCTGTAAAGTTTTTAATCTGCTATTTTATACTTCAACCAGGGATGGGCTTCAAAATTTTAGCAAGAGGTTCTCTGCCTGGTTGCTGGGTGGGTGTGGCCATGGTGGGCGTGACCTAGTGTGCACCACGGCGGGGGGGGGACACTTTTGCCCTCCCTGGGCTCAGGAGGCTTTCCTTGAGCCTCCAAGAGGGTGAAAAAGGGCTCCCCGGGCTCTGGAGGCTCTCTGGGAGCCGGAAACAGGCCCATTTCCGGCCTTCCCGAACTTCCGGGAGGCCCATTTTTCACCCTGCCTGAACCTCCACACACGCCCTACACTTACCTGCATTCAAAATGGCCGTGTGGGGACTCCTGGGAGGGGTGAGGTGGGCGGGGCCAGTCAGGAGTGGGATTTGGGGGTTCTCCAAACTGTGCAGAATCTTAGCTAGGGGCTCTCCCAAACCTCTGCAAACCCCCAGAAGCCCACTCCTGACTTCAACTTATAAGAAGCTGCCTTCTGTGATGGATTCATCCAGCTCTGACCAGGGGTGGGATTCTACCGGTTCGCACCTATTTGCTAGAACTGGTTGTTAACATTCTAAGCAGTTCGGAGAACCAGTTGTTAGAAGAAATTACTGGCCTAATCCTGTAAGGAAGGCAGGAAGGAAACATTCTGGTGTTGCTTACAGAAACTGCCTCTCCGTTGTCCCTTATTACATTCTTGGCAGGACTAGACTTCCTGTCTCTGGAACTTCTCTGGAGGTTTTTTTTTCCCCTCCTTTGCTGGTACTTTGCTTGTGTGGAGTGACCATTCAAAGTTACAATGGCACTGAAAAAAGTTACTTATGACCATTTTTCACACTTACGATTGTTGCAGCATCCCCACAGTCACGAGAGGACAGGTGAGGAGATGCGTGCCTCGATGTGAGTGATATTGAGTTGGCCACGCCCAGCCAGTCACATGACCACCAAGCCATGGCCATCTAGTCACATGACCACCAAGCCATGTCCATCTAGTCACATGACCACCAAGCCACGCCCACAGAACCGGGTTGTTAAAAAGTTTGAATCCCACCCCTGGCTCTGACCCATCTTCACCCAAAAAAAATTTTTTTTCACCCTGGGCAACTTCAAGTTGTGTGGACAACAAACCCTCAGAATTCCTCAGCTGCCTGATGAATTTCCCCACACTGGCTGTGAAATTCTGGGAGGGGAACCAATGGGAGATATGTCCCAGAGTTGAGAAATGGATCTACACTGATCAGCCCAGGGAGTCCAGCTTTTCAATAACATTTCCCCACTTCTGAGATGTCGCAGAAATAATTTGAGATTCAATCTCTTTACAAATTTTCAATTTTTAAAATATGCAACTTGTACTTTGCTGCTGAGCTCCAGTTTTACCCGGAGGTAAAATGCCCATTTCTGCTAATAACCTATGCCTACCTCTTTCCCACGTGGATAAATAATTAATTGATCATAAATTAATAACATTAATAAAAAATAAAAAATTCATTTTAAATCACCTTTGTTTGCCAAGAGACACAGAAAATCGTAGACGAGATTACATTCTTTTAAGGTAAAGCTGGAGACTCAATGGTTGCATAAGCCCGTTTAGGCAATGTCAGGGTTCAAGCAAGGAGGCGCCGTGAACCCGGGTTCAACCCGGGCCACTTTTTTGGCTCCGCGAAAACAGCCTTGAACCGGCGCCGGCTCGTGCAATGCGGGCAAGCAGCGGCTGCAGCCGACTCCCCCACCCCACCTCCCATCCGCGTCCAGGTTACATCCAGAGCCCGAAAAGCGAGGGAGGCTCCCCAGTCGACTGGATTAAAAAAGCTTACGGGTTTTCCCCAAGCCCGTTGCGCGGAGATCTCCGGCTCTCCTCCCTCCCTCTCTCCCTCCAGCCGCTGCTCTGGGATCGCCCGCGGCCCCCTCTTCCTCCAAAGCTGTGGGACCGGCGAGAGGTTGGCCCGACGGGCCGGTCTAACTTGCTCAATCCACCCTCCAACATGGGAAGTGTTTTAAGCAGAGATTGGGCAAAACGGTGTCTGAACGGTCAAGGCTTGCCTGCCTGAGAAGGGGGTTGGACTAGAAGGCCTCTAAGGTCCCCTTTTCCAACTCTGTTATTCTGTTATTCTGCCTCCCCTTGCCTAAAATCTCCAGCCGTGCCAGATCACCGTCCCAAATGCCACGCCGGCTGGGAATCCTGAGTTTTGTAGTTCTCATCTAACGCGCTTCATTGGCTCCGATGGAGGAAAGGCTACTTGCCCAGCCCTCGCATCCCTCGAGCTTCCTTCCCCCCCACTTTCCTTGGACCGGGACAATTCCAGAAAAGCCCTTCCGGCCGGTTCAGCCGAGCCTTGCCCCCGATCTCTGCCCGCTTATTCCCCCGCCGACGCATCCTCCAGAACCGGAGCGATTGATCGGGCGCCGCCGCTTTTACCGGACGCCGGGAAGGTTGCGAGGAAGCGGCTTGTAGCAGCTCCGCCCTGCTTGGAAATAGAGGCTGGTGGCGTCCACGGAGGCCACGAGCAGCCCCGGCAGGAGCCAGAGGGCGAGGGAGGAGAGGTCGCGCCCAGCCATGATGATCGCCGGCTCAGCTGGCCGCCGCCGCCGCCGCCGCCGCCTCTTGAGACAGTCGCCGGGAAAGGAGCGCGCAGAGCCGGGCGGGACTACTTGGGTCCTTTGTCCGGAGGAGCTGAGGGGAGCGAGTTAGCCAAAGGCCCGTGCAGGCGGCGACGTCATTGGGGGAGGTGAGGAGGGGGGGACGAAGAAAGCAGCCGCCCCGCCTTGGTTCGCTTCAGGTAGGCTGACGGGTTTGCCCGGGATTGCGAGAGCGGGAAGCGGTTGCGAAAGAGGAAACGATCAGGCGGCTCCTCGTGACTCCGGAGGCTGAGACGTGCCGTCGGCCACTGGGCAGTAGCGGACCTCAGCCAAGAGGGAAGGGCCAAGTTTGAATGCCCAGGAGAGGAGCAGAACAGCAGATTAACAGAGTTGGAAGGGACCTTGTAGGTCATCTAGTCCAACCTCCCCACTCCTCAAGCCAGGCAAGGAATAATGGAGGGAAACTGAACAAGGAGAGATCCAACCTGGAAATAGGGAGAAACTTTCTGACCCTGAGAACAATCAACCAATGGAACAGAAGTTGCCCTCAGAAGTTGTGGGAGCGCCATCACTTGAGGCCTTCAAGGAGAGATTGGACTGCCATTTGTTAGAAATGGTGTAGGGTCTCCTGCTTGGGTGGGGGGTTGGACTAGATGACCTACCAGGTCCCTTCCAACTCTGATTATCTGTTATCTGTTATAAAGCAGTCCCATTCCCAGTCCCAGCCATCCTGATTGGGGAGGGGGGCTGCCGGCATCCTTTTTGGGTCAGCTGTACCGGCAGTCCTCGACTTACAACGGTTCATTTAGTGGCCATTCGAGGTTACAACAGCACTGAAAAAAGTGACTTGGGGCCCTTTCCCACACTTTATGACCGTTGCAGCATCCCCACAGTGACGTGATGTACATTTGAGTGCTTGGGTAAGCCTCTCCACATGGTCATCTGATCAAAAGTTTGGACACTTGGCAACTGGTTCATATTTATGACCGTCGCAGTATCCCAGCGGGTCATGTGACCAACTTTTGAGACATTCAGAGGAGCGAAGTCCACGGGTCACTAATTTACAACCAGGTTGCTAATTTAACAACTGCAGGGATCCACTTGACAGAGTCGGGGAGAAAAGTCGTAAAATGGGGGCAAAAGCTCACTTAACAGATTTCTCAGTTAGCGACATCAATTCTGGGCTCAGTTGTGGTCATAAGATGAGGACTACCTATATTTCAGAGTGCTGCCGGCGTTTACCTGAACTGGTTCAGGGAAGGCAACCAGAAGGAAGGGCTGAAGCAGATCAGTTTGATAGCATGGAGCAACATAACATATTGTGCCCATTATTTTTAGAGTGCAATAGCTGGGCACACGTGTTACTTGAGAAAGAGATTTGGGGTTGTTTTCAGATATGATTCATGAGTGCCAAGGCAGCTGTATTTTTCTGTATCGCCTACCTCAGGCTCCAGCTGGTTGAAAGAATTATTTCTAGGAAGTATAATTCGTGACCAGGGGGCATGATTTATGATCTGTAGCAGCAGCTGTGTTACTTTCATAAGAATGTGTTCCTCATAATATGACAGTTTGGATTTTACTTTTAAATGAGGAAGTTAACAAATCCCCAGTTTTGGTTGATTTCCTGTTTTTATCATACTCTTTGCAGATACCAACTGTGATTTGATGGGGATTTCCAATGCCCACAACAGCTGAGATTCAAAAAGAAGTGGCCTTATGACTTACTTTGGAAATTATGTTTCAAGAAATAGACAATAAAAGTGAATTGAAAGTGAATGAAAAATGAATCACCTGGCAAAAAAAATATAATAATACACAGGAGGTGGTAGAAATTCAAAGCAGCAGAAACTTTGAAAGACTGTTGATCGAGGCACTGCAGGAAAGGATTTTTTTAAAAAAAATCTTTATTAGAGATAGTAAGATATAGGATCCTTGGATCGTACTATTTACCACCTACTGTGCTACTTTTGCACTCAAAAGAAAGCCAAATAGATCCTTTCTTACTCCTTGGGTAACATTTTTTCTTAACTTGGCGAAATATTTGCATTAAATGAATTTGCATTCTCAGATACTGGCAGAAAAAACCCCCCCAAGGAACAGGAAACAATCCTGGCTTTTGGAGATAATCAGTTCTTCTTTCTGTAGAAGAAGCAGTATTCTTGTGACTTTGCTAAAGCAGCCAGTAATATAGTTATAGCCCTTAATTTAGAAACACCTAACGTGCCGCGTGTTGAATGAAATATCTCTACAGATCCTTGAAGGTGCTGAATGAAGTGACTCTAAAAGAACTAACTCTCCTGCCTCCGTGGCCCAAAGCCCATCCCTGTCATATTCATCAGAGTTGATGAGTACAGTAATTGACGAGCCACCTGAGGTTTATATAAATAAATGTTCGTTGTAGAATGAATAATTCAAGTAGGAATCTTATAGAAACCAATCTGCATAAAAATAAGTTCCCATGAAGGAAAATACCTTGTAAAAGTTTTTATAGTTCATATGTTTGATTAAAGAACTGCCATTTGCTTTTGAAGAAAGAACTTCTGTTTCATGAAGATAAAACATGCATATGTCAATGTTGCATAATATGCTGCTAATTACCTAACATAGCCTAGCATAGCTGGCTGGAGAATTCTGGGAGTTGAAGTCCACAAGTCTGAAAGTTGCCAAGGTTGGAAAGCCCTGGTCTGGAGAAATCACAGAATGTGGCCCACATTGATACTAGACTGTGCTGGAATAGAGGAACTTGTGTGCAGCCAGAGGATGGGTTTGTTTAAGGCAAAGGTCTCCAAACTTGGCAACTTTAAGGCTTGTGGACTTCAACTCCCAGAATTCTCCACCTGGCTGGAGTTTTGGAGACCTCTGCTCTAATGAGTAGATTTTATTCGGCCACCCCATCTTACATGTGAAGTTGTGAACTGTGGATGGCTAACAACAAATATTTTTTTAAAAAAAATTAGAATAATTAGGCAGGCAATCCTTAACTTCCATCCGGTCACTTAGCAATTATTTGAAGTTAGGACAGAGTTCCCCAGGGATATGGTTGTGATGGCTGCTGCCTCCAGAGTCATGTGGCTGTATTTTGGACACTCAGCAACTAGCACCCGACAAATGTGACTACATTTTATGACATTTTTGCCAAAAAAATATCATATACTTTTGGATTTGGGCTAAACTGGTCCATAATGAACAATGCCTGCTGCAAAAAAAAAAAAGAGAAAAGGTTATAAAATGGGATCAGTCATGTGGGTGACTTGCTTTATCATGACTTGCAACCTTGGAATGTAGGACCCAAACCATGCCTGGACCTTACTGGGTTCATCTAACTCCTGCCAAGGACCTGTAGGGGAAAGCCATATATGCACAGCTTCCAATCTAAAGAGGATTGGAACCCACCGGATTTTAGAGAGGAAACTGTTCCATAGTTTGCTTTGATATTCTACTGTTCTTTGTACTATACTGGGTTAGATATAGATACAGATTAACAGAATTGGAAGGTGCCTTGTAGGTCATCTAGTCCAACCCCCTGCCCAAGCAGGAGACCCTACACCATTTCTGACAGATGGGAGTCCAGTCTTCTTGAAAACTTCCAGTGATGAAGTTCCCACAACTTCTGAAGGCAACTTTTGTTCCATCAGTTGATTGTTCTCACTGCCAGAAAAGTTCTCCTTATTTCTAGGTTGAATCTCTCCTTGATCAGTTTCCATCCATTATTCCTTGTCTGGCCTTCAGGTGCTTTGGAAAATAGCCTGATCCCCTCCTCTCTGTGGCAGCCCCTCAAATATTGGAATGCTGCTTAGGGGTTGCATAACATCCTAAGCTTTAACTTGGTATAAAAGGAATAATAGCTGGAGACCTTCAGGGAGGAAGAACAGACAAATTCCTGGACTTACCTGTTTCATTGTCAGTTCTCAATGTAAAAAATGTTCCTCATGAGAACAGAATTGGAAGGGACCTTGGAGGTCTTCTAGTCCAGCCCTTAACCAGGCAGGAAACTCTTTACCAGGGGTGTCAAACTCACATCGTCACGGCATCGTCACACAATGTATTAGGACTTTTTTCCCCTTCGCTAAACCAGGTGTGAGCATGGCCAGTGCGTGACTCATCTAGCCCATGGGCTGGGATTTTGACAGCCCTGCCTTATACTATTCTGGACTGTCCAATTGAACATGAATGGACTCACCTGCATTTTCAACACACCTGCTGTGGTATTCCTGCACAAGTATTGGAGAACAAGTCCCCTTGTTCTCTTGTATGCCAACCCTTCAGATATCTGAAAAGTGCCATCATATGTCATACCCCTGGAGGAGACTGACTCTGAGGAAGAGGAGGAACAGCCAACAGGGAGTGGAAGTGTGGCTCCAGAGGTGGTGGAGGAGGCTGGGGAAGGGCAGAGGCCAGCTGAGCAATCAGAGGAGGTTCCAGGCCCATCCCCTATCCATCCTAGGGCACGCAGGGAGGAGAGGATCAGGGAAAAGCATGGTCTACTCGGGAGGAGAGGGCCATGATCTTCCTCGTAGCTTGCAGCTGGGAGCTATGTATATACATTTGTAACCGCGTAGTCAGAATTTGCTGGAGACAAAGTTTAGTGTTTTCTTTGAAAGAGGTTTATCTTTGCTGGCGTTCTTCCCATGGACTCTCCTCGGTTATCTTCCTGGAATGTATGATTAATTATCTTGGCTTGCTTCGGAACTCTCGTCAATACGGTTTGTTTTGGTTTTCTTTTTGCCTCATTATTTACTTTTGTGACTTTAAACTGTGCCTAATAAAACAGTGAAGTTAAGTTGAAGGCATTACCGGACTTTAATGTATGTTTTGGGTTATTTTGAGAGACTGCACACATATTTTTCATTAGTCTTTTCTTCTGCACACCTAGTTAACTTAGTGTCCCTCATAAGATTCAATGCTCAGTCTCGTCTCCAGCATGATAGTCCTTCTCTGAATTTGGTTCGTTTTTCATGCCTTCATTTTGCAGGGCCCAGAATTTGGTTGCAGTATTTCAAGTGGGGCCCAGTCAAATCAGAATGCAGAGTTGAACTCTGTTCAATTCCAAACTCATACTTATATTAGAGTATTACACAAATCCAACTCCTGAAAAGTTTTCAGAATATAGGATTAAATCTTAGATTGGAAATCTAGTGATGAAGGAGATATCTCTGTTTTCATGTAACCCATTCTTCTTTCCATTGTATAGCACTGTTTCTCAATCTTGATGTGCTGGCTGTGGAATTCTGGGAGTTGAAGTCCACACATCTTAAGTTGCCCAGGTTGAAAAACACTGCTCTAATGTTAACCTCCTTTTACAGCAGCTCTTTTAAATACAGTCCTATTTCTCAATGCTGTTAGAAAACTACAGTAATATAAAGGAAGACACTGGAAAGGTATGGACATCATAATTATGTGCATGTAACAGGAAAGAGAGAGAAAGCTTTCATTAAGTCAATATAAATGCCACTCTTTCAGCTCTGCCCTTTAACTTGCCCCTAGAATAAGAGGCATCAATTTAAAGGTGGATTCAGCTGTTTTGAGTTTTTTTAAAACACTCAATCCAGCATCAAATATAATCTCATTTTGCCAAAGCATAGGTGACAACTCATGAATACTTTTCAAGAAGAAAGCAAACTTTCTGGCATTTATTTCCTGTGTACCCAATGAACAGATGCCCATTTGGGAGTGGATAGTGGTGGCCTAGCAGTTATGTTGCTGGGCTTGTCAATCAGAAGGTTGGCATGATGGGGTGAGCTTCTGTCTTTAGTACCCCAGCTCCTGCCCACCTCGCAGTTTGAAAGCATGCAAATGCGAGTAGATAAATAGGTACTACTTCAATGGGAAGGTAATAGCACTCCGTGAGCCTTGGTGTACAGCCATTCTGGCCACATGACCGCAGAAAATGTCTCTGGACAACGCTGGTTCCCATAGCGGGAACAGAGACAAGCACGTCTCCCTACAGTCCAACACAATCGGTCAGGAAAAACCTTTATCTTTATTCATCAATAAAAAGAAAAACTGAATTATGATGATATTCCATCAGCAAATGCTACTGAATAGCACTGCCCCTTTCTTAAGAAGAGTACATTTTGCAGGATATTTTCTTTCCTATCAACATCTCCAACAGCACCGGTCAAAGAAAGTGGCAGAGGCAAATTCAAAGGAGTACAGGGTCTCCATAAGCACACTCCTCTTCCAAAGCCAAGTTGTAGTAGCTTCCTTTTCCATCTTTATATGCGCTGGTCACGATCCGAAGCCAGCCACGCTCTCCCTGAAAGACATTAAGTCGCACCCATTCATGTAAGTCTTATGTTAAGGTAGCACCCCAAAAATATTTCAAATCATAATCGAGCAGTTGGGTATAAGATACAAAATTACATCGAATCAAGAAGTCAATTTTCCTAAACCGCAACCATGGAATAACATGACTGATAACCACAATAGGGAGCAGAATTTCTGTCGTTAAGTGAGTCACGCTGATTTTACAACCTTTTCATTACAAATCAATTAAGCCAATCACTGCAGTTGTTAAGTGAATCATGCAGTCACTAAGGGAATCCAGTTTCACCTATGGACCCTCCTTGTCAGAAGTCATCTGGGAAGGTCCCATGATCACATGCAACCATTGTAAATAGATGCTGGTTGCCAAGCACCAAATGTTTATCACATGACCAAGGGGGATGCTGTGATGACCATAAGTGTGAAAATTGGTTGCAATTTTAGTGCCGTTGTAACTTTGAATGGTCACCAAATGTATAGTTGTAAGTCGAGGACTATCTATTAAGGTTTAACTAAACCCTACCCCTATGTAACTTGTAGAATAGGAATAGGAATAGGAATAGGAATAGGAATAGGAATAGAATAGAATAGAATAGAATAGAATAGAATAGAATAGAATAGAATAGAATAGGAATAGGAATAGGAATAGGCATAGAATAGGAATAAGAATAGAATAGAATAGAAAAGGATAGGATAGGAAAGAAATAGAAAAGAAGTAAGAATAAAATAGAATAAGAATAGAATAGAAAAGAATAGGATAGGATAGAAATAGGATAGGATAGGACAGACTAGAAATAGGAATAGAATAGAATTCTTTATTAGCCAAGTGTGATTGGACACACAAGGAATTTGTCTTGGTGCATATCAGAGATGACATGCAGCAGGTTCTGACCAGTTCTGGAAAATCAGTAGTGGGAATTTTGAGCTGTTCGGAGAACCGGAAAATCCCACCTCTGACTGGAGATTTTACAGTATCCTTCCCCTGTCACGCCCACTAAGCCATGCCCACAGAACCAGTAGTAAAAAAAAAATTGAAATCCCACCACTGGTGCATATGCTCTCAGTGTACAAAAAAGAAAAGATACTGTTGGTACATTTCAAAGCTGGAACGCTCATAGCCTGCCATACCAAGCAGGGAACTTTACCCACCCAGCTAAATCCTTAAAAAGTAATAATATAGATTGATGTATCATGTCTTCCTTACCCAGGGATCTCCCCAAGAGTTCCGGACAATCCAATACTCTGTTCCATTTTCTACCCCCCAACCAGCAACAGAGACGATATGGTTTATTATAGGCAAGAAACTGAATTCTTCATATAAGCCTCCAGTGTATGCATCCAGTTTGGAAGTGGCCATGATCCCACAACTACATAAAAACGAAAAGCAAGAATAAAACCTTCGGGATGAAAACGACTGAAACGAGCAGCTTTAGACACCATCGTGAAGACAAAGGACCACTATCGAACTACAAAGCCTGATTTCGGCCAGATTTAGTGAGAGTCCGTGTTGTGCAGCAACTAAGGTATCAGGCTGACTTTAAGTCCATCCTTAGCCCTGGGAACTCAGACGCTGGATCTTTGCAAGAAAGGGGGGGGGGTGGAAATAGACTCAAAGAAGTTGGATTTGTCACTCAAGTACAACATGGACCTGTCCCTGCAGTTTTCTTGACAAGAAGATAGAAAAGGTTTCTTCTACAATGGTTTTATTCTTTCCAACCTGTTGGGATATTTGAAAGAAAATACATAAAAAGATTCCCTGTGTTAGCAGGATAACTCTTGAAAAACTGACCAAAACAGGACCATGTTCAGTGTGACTCACCTTAGGCAGGAAGCCAGCTGGGTAATCTTGGGCCAGTCCCTGTTTCTCAGCCCCAGAGAGCAGACAATGGCAAACAACTTCTGAAATCTTGCCAAGAAAACTGCAGGGACTAATCCAGGCGGTCTCCAGCAAGCAACACTTAACCCAGGAGTCTCCAAACTTGGCAACTTTAAGACTTGTGGACTTCAACTCCCAGGATTCTCCAGCCAGCATAGGATAGCTGGCTGGAGAATTCTGGGAGTTGAAGTCCACAAGTCTTTAAAGTTGCCAAGTTTGGAGACCTCTGACTTAACCAAAGGCATTCCACACAAAAAGTTATAACAGACCAACCTGAAATAATTACGTGAAGGCTTCTGCATATTACCTAGATCAGGGGTCTTCAAACTTGACAGCTTTAAGACTTGTGGACTTCAACTCCCATAATTCCTCCTCCAGGCATGTTAGCTCAGGAATTCTGGGAGTTGAAGTCCTCAAGTCTTAAACTTGCCAAGTTTGAAGAACTTTGACCTAGACCAGTGTTTTTCAACCTTGAAGTTTAAGATGTGTGGACTTCAACTCCCAGAATTCCCCAGCCATCCTATCTGACACTTGTCAAGGTGTGAGAAACACTGACCTTGAGGCGTAGCATAAAGTTTGCATTGTTTTACCTGATGGGTCCATTTGCATAGATTTCCGCCATCATCTTCTCTCGACCACTGAGAGTTCCATAATCTCCCACTTTCCAGAGGGTGTAATTTTTTATCACATGGCATTCCCCAAAGGTGGTACACGTTCCACATTGGTTAAATTTCTTGCACTCTATGAAAACCAGAAAGAATTTTGGCACCAGAAAAATCGCCTTTCTCCCCCAAAGATGGGGACAATGAAATGCTGTCCTGCTTGTCGTATCTGAGGTAGTGATTTTTTTTTATCCAGGAATCGCCTCCTGTTTGGCTTCTAAAGCCCACCCCGCATTTAAAGTGGCAAATATAGCAAATAAAATATAGCAAATATATAGTTTCATGTAAAAAGCTAAAATTGGATGAGGGCCAGTTTGTACAGTTGTATATGTTCATCTATGTGCAGTCACACTTATCCTTGTGTGCTTGTATACATACATTTTGTTGTTTTCCACTGACATATTCATAGATGCCTTGCATATTTGCATACATATATTTATATTTTACTGTTGTTTTGCACTTCTGGTTGGATGCTAACTGCATTTCGTTGCCTGTATCCATGGCAATGACAATAAAGTTGAATCTAATCTAATCTAATCTAGACTAAAAACTGGGAAATCTTAAATTCTAGTCCTGCTTTGGGCACAAAGTCAGCTGGGTGTCACCTCTCTCTCGGCCCTAGGAAGAAGGCTGCAATGACAAACCACTTCCAATGTTCTAGAAAACAGCAGGGACTTATTCAAGTAGTTCTCAGGACATATAATTAAATCAATCCATCCATTATCTATCTATCTATCTATCTATCTATCTATCTATCTATCTATCTATCTATCTATCTATCTATCTATCTATCTATCTATCTATCTTCTATCTATCTCTCTATCATCTCTGAATAAAAGGGATTAAAGAGTCATATATATATATATATATGTGTGTGTGTGTGTGTGCTTCGCTACGAAACTATGTGATCGGGCTTAGTTTTGGGGGAGAAAAATAAGGGGAAAAATTGTGCCTCTGCCTACCAGCATCCATTGGTATTCATCAGTGTGTGAGAGAGTTGAGGGCTGTTTGGAAACTGAAGCAGTATTTGCTGTGTGAACAAGGAGACAGCAAAGAGCCTGGGCATGGCTTAGCTCAACTGTTCTGTACTAAAGCTGGTTGCTGCTGTGAAACTAAAACTGAAACTGAAACTCCTCTCCTCTGCTTGTGTTTTGCATTTGGAACAGGTTTCTTTTCAGGTGGGGAGGGGGAGTAGAACTCCTTAGCATCAGAGCGTGTTAATAATCATATACGAAATACTAATGCTCTGATGGTCATTTCGAGAAATCTTTTCTTAGTGAGCACCTAGAAGCCAAGAGGAACATACATGCCAAATTTCAAGTTTGTAGGCTTTACGGTTCTGGAGATTTTGTGATGATGCGTGAGTGGTATTTGGCTTTGATATATATATAGATAGATATATCTTTTTATGACCCTTTAATCCTTTTTAGTTGGGGTGGTGTCGGGGTGACCAAATTGAGCTGAACATTTCCTGCCCAGATACCCTTCCTGATACCTATGTGGAGTTCCCAGCAGATATTTTTTATTTAAATATATATATAGCTATGAGAGCCCTATCTGATTAAAACAAGAAAATATAATCTTCTTAAATACTCTACTATGGAAATGGTCTCTATATACCTGCACCAGATGTTTTTGACTTCCACTCCCAAGATGTCCTAGGCTGGAAATTTGTCTAAAATTTGTAAGTGTTATCCTGAGTCCTTTTCTTTTTGCTAGATGTATATCCTATTTTGTACATCCCAAGGCACCAGGCATACCCAATAACCCTCCTCCTATATTCCCAACAACTACCCTATTAGATGGGTTGGGCTGAGAGTGACTGGCCTAAAGTCACTCAGCCCAACTGCTTCCAGGCCTAAAGGAAGACTAGCACTCAGGGTGTCCTGGTTTCTAATCTAGCACCTTAATCTCTACATCAAACTGGTGGGAGAAAGCTATTCCACAGATACTTCCAAGAGCATCATGACTCAGAAAGCTTGGTAGCTGTGATACATCTAAAACACCTGGAGACCTTTGGTATCCTATAAGCCTCCCCTATTCTTTCTAACCCCCTTGCAATGGAGGGCTACATCAGAGCTTCTATGGGTGGGATGGAGACAAAGGCCCCTTGGAGCTGATTCCTATCTGCAGGACTTCACATCAAGACAAGGAGATGCAAGGATGGGGATGCAGAGGTGAGCATATTTTCAAGTTGCAATGGGAAAGCGTTAGGGTCAGGGCTGCCCCTGTCAACTCGTAAATCATTCCTATGCCTGTTTCTGAGTTGCCATAAGGAGGAGGGAGGGGAAAGGCCTGAGGGAGCAGTGCAGCAGATGAAGGCCAGAAGCACATTCCACACTTATCTTGTGGAGATTGTAGCCTAGGCTACTGGATCTTCTGCTGGAGAAAATCCTTCATTGGAGAGTGTGATTGATGACACCCAGCCCGTGAACAGGTTTCATTGGAGAATATGAATTATGACACACCCAGGGGAGTGGGGGGAAACAGGGTCATGGGTGATAGTAAATTATGTATCTCAGAGTTGGCTTCATAGGGTTAGCGCCGGACATGTTGCTCCTAATAAGTCTTTTGGATTCCTTTGAAGCTTGGCTCGAGGCTCATGATTTAATTAGGGCAACAGTTGTCACCCTGACAGCCCCATTCTCTCACTTTGATCTTTTGCCTGGTAGTTGTTGCAGGTCTCATCAGGGATGCCATGCTGGTGAGCATAAGCCCATACGCCTATGTGGTCTCCACCGTGACAGGTCCCTGCCTCAGCACAGTCAATGACGTTCTGAACCGAGAGGTAAGCAGAAGGCCAGGTGCCTTTCTTCTTGATGTTGATGCGATCTGAGAGAAAAAGAGCAGAAGATGGTTGGTGTATGGCTTGAGTTGGGGCCTTCAGCATTCTGGACTTTGAGGGGTGCTTTTCTTCTGGGGAGAAAGGGAGCAGCCAGCCTTTGGGGGATAAGGGGCCCATGTTGACTTTGAAACTATGTCCGTTATGTTCAGGTGGACTTACAAGATAAGGATCCCAGTGACATCCTCCCCTGGGGTACTTTTAGTTTCTAAGAACAATGTTGTGGCCTTTGTGGGACCATTCCTAGGATGGCTGGTCTAGGAAGGTAACCTGCCTGATCAAAGCCCCCACCTTTTTTTTTTTTTTTTTACAGGAGGTAGGGCTTCAATCACACACTTACAACCATCATTTTGACTTTTTCAAACTTCTCCCCACGGCTATTTCTTATTTTAAAAAATTGCAGGTAGTCCTCAAGTTATGACTGGATGCTAAGTAATAATGGACCCCCAAAATTGTACCTATTCCCTGGATGAAGTTCCAACGGCCACCCCACCCCACCCTGTGGGCCATTCCCTAAAGCAGGGGGTTCCAACCTTGGCAGCTTCAAGCCTTGTGGACTTCAACTCCCAGAATTCTCCAGCCAGCTATGCTGGCTGGAGAATTCTGGGAATTGAAGTCCACAAGTCTTAAAGTTGCCAAGCTTGGAGACCTCTGCTCTAATGTGTAGATTTTATTCGGCCACTCCATCTTACATGTGGAGGCTGAGGAATTCTGGGAGTTGAAGTCCACAAGTCTTAAAGTTGCCAAAGTTGGAGACCCCTGCCCTAAAGAACCCGAGAACTTCTAATTGGACATTGGCTGACAGCAGGGGTTGGCCAGGAGAAAAAAGCGGAACTTTACTGAATCATTTTCGTGCCAAGCCAACCAATTCTGCCTTGCAAACATCTGAAATCACTTTGTTCTCAGTAAAGTATATTCTTGGGGGGAAAAAATAATGTGCCAGGAGTCTTTCTTTGCTAATTAATTTAAGTGGGATGGATGACACAATGAATTTTTTTTGGCTGGAAACCAGCATTTATTTCCAGGTTTGGGGAAAAAAAGAAAGAAGCAGCAAATTGCGGACAATGGGTTTATTTAATAACCATCACAAAACATGTCATAAAATTGAGTCAGTCACATGGTGAACCTAATTCCGGTCTCTATTAGGACTTACAGTCGTAAATTGAGGACTACTTGCATCTTGAGCACCTTGCCCATTCTGGGCTGGGGGACTCTAGATATACAGAGTTTGCTTTGCACAATTTCACAGCAACGGACATGCTCTGAATTCTTGAAGCCCACTCACTGGGAGGGCATCTTAGTGGAGGAAAATTGCTTTGCAATAGGCCAACTTTCCTTTATCATGGAATTAAAAACACCTTGGAAAACAAGTGGAATCCTGTGGGGCAAAAGGAACTGTTTGTGGTTATCGTGGGAGCTGGCCACAGACCCAATGCTGCATATCCCTGTTGCTACTCCATAATAGGCACCGATAAACCCCATATCAGTTTGACCTTTGAATCCAACAGAATTCATCTCTTCAGACTAGACTTGGGAAAAAAATATAAGAAGTGGGAGAGCTGGTGGAAATATGGGGCAGGCTTAAGGGAACAGAAAGATGAAGGAGAAGGAATGGTGGAAAAGGGAGTGGAATCAAAACAGGAATCAGGTTAGAATCTCTATGTAGTCATAAACAGACTAAGTCCATCCCCTCTTCAACTCCGTTGACCTTTCTCTTAACACCAACATAGTGCTATTAGTTGAGTAGATTCTTTTGCATAGGCATGTTGAGTAATAAATTAGTTTAACTGGAACTTCACGAACGATCTTGATCTTTCAATTTGGGAGCCAACCCACAGAGAAAAGCACTATCGACTAAGGTTAAATTATACAGGAAGGGAGCCTCCATAGTCATGCACAGTGTATCTTTATAAAGGAGGAAACAAGCACAGCAATAGAACCACCACCTACCTGCTAGAGCACTGGTGCTGCCGTGAGCCCAGCAAGAGCCACAGTATTGGGGAATGTGCTGATTTCGAGTGGCACTCGCGTAATTGACTCCATCTCTATTTCTCCAGTCCCAACTCTTGGGCAGATTTGAGATATCCAAATATTCATGAGGACGAGGATAGGTTCTGTTAAGAGGAAAGATGAGAATGTCAGAAGGGAGAACCAACTGATACTCTTTCCCCATTTGGCGGGTGGAGGGAGGGGGGGAAGGGGCAAAGGGGAATAACACATTCTACCCTTGCTGGAAGATTTTACTCATTTTTCCACTTAGCTTGCAATTGTGTTTAAGCTCCTCGTGATTCTATTGTCTTCCAGACATGCAAACCAATAACCAAAGTTACAAAATGTATATAGGAAAGTTACTCAAAACAGAAAAGTATCGAAGACCAAGAGGTGGCATCTCAAAAAAGTATGTGTTTTGTGAAAAAGCAAAAAGCAAACTATGTGAGTCAAACAGAGCCAGCAGGCACAGACAGGAAACTCTGGTCACCCCGTTTACTATCAATAATGAAATTACACCTTTATCATCATCATCTTATGATTGCACCTATGTCAATGCACCTCAACCTTCAGGCACAGAATGAACAATACTTTTTTAGACCTTTCCAAAGCCAGAATTTTCTGACATCAACAAGGATCTTTACGAGGACCAGGCATGATAAGTGACCTAAATGGATAATGTTAGTAGCCAGCTTTGAGCCAGGTTCTTCTGAGAACTTCAGTATGAGGTCTAGGATCTCCCCAATGTTTATGCTCTAAGAAAATGCTTCTGGTTCTTTCCTGTGACCCAACAACTGGAAGCAACCCATGGATATACTGGAAGTTATCTGTAGGGCACTTCGGTGTAGTAAGATCAAGCAGGCTATTCAACCCTGGTGGAAGAGAAGATGATACCCTGGTTGTCCAAGAAAGCAAACAAATGGATCATAAAATCAACCAATTTAGGGTTCCCAATTGAGTAAGAAACGACAGGCTCAAGCTATCAAATCTTGAAGACATTACGGACATCTGGCTGTTTTCAGAAGTCCACAACACTGGGAAAGATGGAGGGGAAGAGATAGAAGACGACAACCAGCGGCAAAACGGACAGTGATCGCAAACAAGATGCATTGTTGGAAGATCTGAAAGGCCAAGTTGGACAAAGATCATCCTGAAGAAGGTTCATCTATGATGTGGTCACCGATTGTTGACCCTGATTTGATCGCACATTATCTTATCAAGGAGCAGATTGAGAAGGAAGGAAGAATGCCTGACCTTGTTTACTGTGAGTCACAATCTTAAGCCCTAAACAGAAGAAGAACGGAGGTCAAAGAGGTCATTAGATAATGAAAAGGGGAAAATGAATTCTATCTCGGAAGAGGAGGGAGGGGGCTATTCCTGGATCCCTTGATATTTGACACATATCCTATAGTATGACTGTTTCTGATGTGCTGAGACACACAAAATTACTTTAAGAATGCAAGCATTAACACCCACACTGTTCTCTGAATGTATTTAATGATGCTGATCATTAGATGTGGACATCATATCTAAGGAACTGAATAACTAGTCTGTTCATTTGATCCTTCCCATCAGGAAAACAGGCAACAGAAGTAGCTGCATGGGAGAAATTTCCATGAGGAAATTCCAGGACTCAAGGCTATAATGACCACAGTTGGGGCCAACAACTAGGTTGTTCAGGGAAGTGGTTGCTAAGTAAAACCACAACTGTGCTCACGGTCTGACTTCTGCTTTCCTTTGGTTCACAGACCTTTGAAGGTGGCAAATGTGAAGATTGGTTGCACAATGACTTTTTCATAACTGCAAATAGTCACTAAATGGAGTGGTGCAGTGGCCTAGAGGTGGAGCTCTCACCTCACAATCAGAAAGCTGTGAGTTCAATCCTACGTAGAGGCAGATATTTCTCTCTCTGGGCACAATGAGAATACATCTGCTGAACAAAACTCCATATTGGCAACAGGAAGGGCATCCGGCCATTAAACACTCTGCTAGCTCCATTTATTTGCCCAGACTCCACCCCACAAAGGGATTATGGGGTCATAAGAAGAAGAAGAAGAAATAGTAGTAGTCACTAAATGAGTAAAAAAAAGTAGGAAGCTTTTTTTAAAGACATCTTGCAAGAACAGAATGGCAAAGTACTTCTAAGGTGCCACAAAAATAGCCCAATATTTTTAAATCTTTTTATTTTGCTTTATTTTTAACCAGCATCATCTACAAATCTCCTCTTCCTCGGTGTATTTTCCCCGTCCCCATCCCCACAAGCCTTTAATGTTTTCTGGGCTCATGTAGCACCTCCTTGGCTTCTCCTGGGTAAAAATTAAGCGGCCTTCCAAGATCGCAGCTGGGGATTGAGATCCTAAATGCTGCTGGATTGCACCCTGAAGGAGGAGACCCAATTCCACGCCATCTCTTGCTTTGCTCTGACCTCCCTTTAACCAGCCCAGCCAAACCGTTTCCCAATGCTTCCCACAGCTGCCATCAAATGGTTTTCCCTTCTGCGGGTTTCTTAACGCACCGCTACTTACAAATGAGCACGGTTGGGCGCAAAAGCTGAATTCACACCCACGAAGATGCTCGAGTCGGGTTGCTGCGCTTGCACAAAATGAAGCACCAGGATGCAACCGAGGGTGGAGTTTGCCCGGCATGTTAAACTCCTCCCCATCCCCATTCAACCAAGCTTGGCGTGATGTGCGAATGCCTCGCTTAATCTGGTTAAAGGGGATCACGAGGGACCTCGCTGGGAGATCTCAATCTCATCTCCATCATTTGCAGCCGAAAGTCGGGGAAACAGTGAGCGGCTGCCCATATGGTCAACCTGGGAGCGGCAGCAGCTCCGCACCATTCTGGGCACAGGGGTGGTTCCTCTGGTTTCGGAGAGGCAGAAGCCTGACCGGGACCAGAGATGCTACCTTGTGGAACAGAGGTCTCCAAACCTAGCAACTTTAAGACTTGTGGACTTCAACTCCCAGAATTCTGGGAGTTGAAGTCCACAAGTCTTAAAGTTGCCAAGTTTGGGGACCCCTGTTGTAGAATATAGAATAACAGAGCGAGAAGGGACCTTGGAGGTCTTCTAGTCCAACCCCCTGCCTAGGCAGGAAACCCTACACCACTTCAGACAAATGGTTATCCAACCCTTCAGACCTGTAGTTGCCAACCTGTGAGCTGGGGACCACTGGTCATCCGCGAGAAAATTTTGGTGGTCTGCAGAGAAATGTCACCCCCAAACCGATTAATCCAGGCTGCACGGGAACACAAGGCTTGCGTGGCTTGCATTGCGAACAACACGAGGTAGTGAGGGTAGGGGGGAAAGGGCAGAAGGGGGGAACTTTCACCCCATTCACCCTATGCACCTCGCCTGGCCGCCTGGCCACCGGGCTGCTTCTTTCTGCTTTTGCTTTTGGCTGCGCACAAGGAAAGCAGCAAAAGTCTTTTTCTCCCCTAAATTGCACCAGAAATGAGTCTTTGGGACGGCAAGACAAGTTTGACAAAGATTGATTTCTGGCAGAATTTGGGGGAGAGAAAGAAAGACTGCTTCTGCTGCTTCTGCTGCTTTCTTTGCAGGAAGCCCAAAGTCTCTCTCCCTCTCTCCCCTTAGAATGGAGCTGGAGACGGTATCCTGCGATCCCAAATAAAGAATGATGGATAGGTAGGAAAACAGCGTGGGGAATTTTCCTGCCGACTTTTTTGGGGGATTTTTCCCAGGGTCTCTGGTTGGCGGGATTTAAAAATTATGAGTTTGGTGTCCCCGAGATCCGAAAGGTTGGCGACCCCTGCTTCAGAGCAACGTAATCCAGCCCTCCAACCTCCTCCCTGTAGGAGAGGGTTACTCCTTCTCTCCGCCGCCCCCCCTTTCCCCTCATCCCCTCGTCCCTTTGCGCCCTTTTGCCAAGATCCCGAGTGGCCGGACATCGCTGCGCTCCCAGCACCGGCTGCGTCTCGGGGATGCCCGCAGCTGCAGCGCCGCCGCCCCCACCCCCACCGCGCTATTGCAACCGGGAGCCGAGCCGGAGCGACGGACGGGATCGCGCCTTGGTTGCCTGCCTTACCGGAGACCGGAGACCTTGCGCGGCAAGGGCTTATGGCAACTCTGCCCTTCCTGGAAGTGGAGAGCGGCGGCGGGAAGAGAGGCGCAGGCGCTCAGCAGCAGCAGCAGCAGCCGCCTCAGGACGAGGACCGGCGGCAGGCGAGGCGCCGGCATGGTGGCCTCTGGCGACGCGTCTTCAACCCACGGCCGGTTTCCCACAGCCGGCCGCTGCTTTATGAGGGAAGACCGAGGACCGGGCGTGGATGACAGCAGCGGCGCGCGCACCCACCCCCACCCACGTGGACGCGCGCTGAAGCTCACCCACGCGCGGCTTCTCGCTGGATTTCCTTTTCCCCTCCCCCGCCCGCCCCCCCACACCACTCGCACCGCGGAAAAGCGGAGCCTCGGAAAGGGACCCCGCCCAGCCTCCCCCGGCTTGCAGTAGCGTGGCCCGCCTTGGGCCCGGGGGTGTGTGTGGAAATCACCGGCGAGGCTTGGGGTGCGGGGATTGGAGTCTGGGTCGTTCCAGAAAAGGCCTTTGGGGAGGCTCAGCTGGGCGCCTTCCGATCTAGAAGATCAGTGAAATGGTTGTGGGATCTTTGGGAGAGAATTCCCCACAACAGGGTCAGGACAGAGCTCCTCTCATCCAGCTGGCTGTGGGTCGAGGTCCCCCAACCGTTGTTTTGTAGGTGTTCTCCAAATCCGGACAAGAAGGATCCCCCTCCCTTCCCTTCCCTTCCCTTCCATTCTATTTATTCCTATTCCATTCTATTCAATTCTAGTTGGTTTCCCACCCCCCACCCCATTCTGCCCAGCAGTTGATCTTTCAAGAGATATTTACTGCCTGGATCTTTGGAGGACCATGAGAACCTTCAAAATCCTTAGCAGGTAGTCCTCGATTTACAACAGTTCATTTAGTGACCGTTCACAGTTAAAACGGCAGTGAAAAAAAGTGACTTATGACCATTTTTCACACCTGTGACCCTTACAGTTCATGTGATGAAAATTCAGACAGCTGGCAAGTGACTCACCTTATTGATGGTTGCAACGTGGGGGGGGGGGGTCATATGCACCTTTTGTGACCTCTTGACCAGCAAAGTCAATGGGGAAGCCGAATTCCCTTAACAACCTTAAAGTACCACAGCGATTCACTTTTAACAAACGTAGCAAGAAAAATGGTAAAATGGAGCAAATTTTCCTTAACCATGTCGTGCTTAGCCACAGAAATTTTGGGCTCAATTGTGGTTGTAAGTCAAGGATCCACCTGCACTGATATCTTCCTTTCCTATAAATTTGACTCAGAACTTTAAACAGAAACCACATGGGTGATCATTGCCATATATCTAAGGGCTAATAAATTGATAAATAAAAATCTAATAAAAATTCTTTGGATTGTTTGGTGGAACTTGGGTGCAGAGCGTGCTCGTCTGGTCAGTCTCTCCCATATAGTCCTTGATGCTTCCTGATGGTTGTTTGCCTGCAGAGTTTCATTACCCAGCTAGATAACATCACCAGTATCTAGCTGGGTAATGAGATGTCTTCAAGTAAACAACCAAGTTCAGGGAGCTGTTCTACCCTGAGCTGCGCAGAAGCTCTTCTGCATAATCTCCTTTGTAAGTTCCTCTGTGGTGTAAAAAAAGAGTTTAGCAACATGGGTTTTGTGGCAGAGATGGGTCTTGGCTGCAAAGGGAGCTAGAAAGCCACAAAGGGCAGGTTGCTGATGGGATATGCCTCTTCAGCCCCTAATCAGAATAACAAGGGATCTTGGAGGCTCAGCTGAAAGTGGAAGACTAGACAGATACGGGGCTGGTCCAGGCATTTGCCATCTGAGAGAAAGGATAAGAAGGACCTCCTCCCATTTGGTGTGCAAAATGATTGGCAGGGGAATCTTCCACATTGCTCATAGGACACGTGCACACTCTTTTCTAGCATGTACACTGAGAGCTGGAAACTCACGCAGGGCAAGTTGCAAAGCCATAGGCTGCTTCACTCTTTCCTCTCCTAGCATTCCGGCATCAAGTTTCTGAATAACTTTTTGGAACCCAATATTCTCTTTGTTCTACTTTTTCTGAAACTCCTTAACCTCCAGCAGGATGATCAAAGTGGAATGCAATTAATCCTACCTGGAAAAAAAAAACCACTGGAGAAAAATACCATTTATTTTAAAACGATGGGCTTGCTGGAGTGAGAATTCTCTTCCAGCACTGATACTAACTTGTTGCTTAATGCTGCCGCATTCTGACTTCCGTCCATAGTGGTTTTGGATGAATTTTTAGGAACTTATTATTGAAGGGGTGATCCTGATTGGCCTGAGTAATGCCACTACTTTATTAGCAGTACTGGTTACCAGTTAGGATCCCCATCTATTCAGTGGGGGGGGGGGGGGGGTTGCAGTAGCCAGCTGATTGGGCTAATATTTAAAGTAAAGCAGGGTTGAATGGGTCACTGCCATGGTGGTGCAGTGGTTAGAGTGCAGTACTGGAAGCTACTTCTGCTGCCTGCCAGCTGCCTGCAATTTGGTAGTTCGAATCTCACCAGGCTCAAGGTTGACTCAGCCTTCCCTCCTTACGAGGTGTGGTAAAATGAGGACCCAGATTGTTGGGGCAATACGCTGACTCTAAACTGCTTAGAGAGGACTGTAAAGTGGTATATAAGTCTTAAGTGGTACTGCTATTTCAATGTTGGAAAATTGAAATGTCTTGAAATAATTTTTTTTTTTGAAAATTTTATTTGGGTTTTCACAAAAACAAAATACAAATAAAACATCTTTTTTAGAAAATAGCATGGTCCCAGGTTATCACTTCTTCATATAGACACAAAACTCAATTTCGTGCTCATTTTTATATTCTATTCCATATCTTACTACCGTTTTATATTTTCTACATAGTTTTTCCCCTCTTTTAATTTTCTCAACTTTATTTTAATTATCTCATCTCAATTCAAATCATTATATTTATACTTTTGTCTGTCCTGTTTC